ACTGTGGCAACGTCGCCAAGATGCTTCAAGAGACCTATACCTGCAAAGCTACAGTACTGTTAAAAGTTTTAGGCCCTTGTGTAAAAATGCTGTAAAATGAGGTTGCTGTCAAAAATAATGTCATAAATAGATTTTCTTTATCAATTAACTTCTATTAACTAAATTAAATTAACATTTGTTGTAACCATCCTTTGCATTTAAAGCAGCTTTTGCCCTAGGTGCACTTGTGCATAGTTTTTCAGGTAGCTTTGCAGGTATAGGTTTCTTGAAGCATCTTGAAGACTTTGCCACAGTTCTTCTGGATTTAGTCTGTTTCAGTTTGTTCTGTTTCTTCATATCATTCCAGACAGAATGGATGATGGTGAGACCAGATCTCTGTGTGGAGCATTGGCTGTTGTCAGACTCCGCGTGCAAAACAAAAAACTTACTGGATTATTACAATTAATGGCAAATGCATGTTTGGAAATGTAAACTGATATTTCCTACTGACACACTACAGCAAAAGATAGAAATAATGGACTTATAACCATTTTTTAACTGGTGAAAATACTAGTGTTCTAATCATTTTGGCCACCACTGTATGTCTATGATTGTCAACAGTGCTCAATGCTGCAAAAAAAAAATTGTAAACTTAAATCTTTGAGTCCCTTAACAGAATGCTCATACAAATAGGCACTATTGCTAACATTTCCAAAGACTGTAAGGTATACGAAGTTGCTGCAATCATATTACTTATGAATGGGAGAAAGTGAAAAACACAATATGGTGGAATAGTACTGTCTTCTGAAGAGCCGATCATTTGGTAAAAGTCATCGCATTACTGCAGCTGCCGTTAGAAGCTCCGGTGAACAGCTTTGGAGAATTTGAGGTTTTCTTATTCAAAGAGATAGGAGCTGTACTTGAATGACTGAAATAGCTGTCCGAGACGCGTTTCAAAGATGACCGCAGAGTGAAATTACTTGACTTAAAAGGACTCTGTTATTACGCACTGACTATCAGCTGCTCTCAAATGTTTATGTATTTGTCATACATGCGAGACCAAAAAGGGGAGTGAAACCGGCTGTATTTATAAGCTAAACCTTTCACATTATCATGAAATTCACAGCATTCCCGAATTTTAAATAGTGAGCAAATATTACTGAGATAATATGCTAACATTCATTGTATCACCCAGCCCTACCACTAAATGTCGTAACTGACCAATCAGAATCAATTATTTCAGAGTGTTGTGAAATATTCGTTAATTTCCTCCGTGAAAATCTCTATACAGTTACAGTAAACATTAATGCACACAGGCTTCATCGACTACTCCTTGCATCCGTTGATTTCATCTTATGTGTGGATTATTTGGATTTATTTAGTGCAAATCTTCAGTTTCATCAGCTCTGATAAGTAATAAACAATATGATATGCAGCTGGCCAATGTTAACTACCTATTAATCAAAACATTTGCATCTGTGAGGCATCAGATACACATTTTCCCTGATGTGTTAACGTCAGTATTTATGACTGACGAATGTCTGACGACCTGACCCTTGGAGATGTTAATCACCTAATTAATAATAGTTAAACCTATTAATCAGATACACATTTTCCCTGATGTGTTAACGTCAGTATTTATGACTGACGAATGTCTGACGACCTGACCCTTGGAAATGTATTTTACCCCCCCTGCCCCCAAACATATGATTCGACTATCAGTCGACTATTGGCAAGATTCGACAATTCTGATTCGACTATGTAAATCCTTAGTCGGGGACACCCATAGTGTACATGTTTTCTAATAAAGACTGTATGCAAGCTGCTTTGACACTGTTTCACATAAAGTACAGTAGGGGAATTTTACAAAACAACTCTGTTGATAAGGCTGTTTTTCACCCACTCAAAGAATTTTGTAAATATGTGCTGCACTATGCACTTGTCACGGTAACGCTACACAGGAGCAAAGAAGTGTGTGTGACGGAGAAGGATCTGGAGGAGAATTCTTGCGGAAGAACCCAGTCCCTCTCCCAGAGCCCCTCATCTGGAGGAGGAGAAACACACCAGGATGAGGTGGTCCAAGTATGTTTGTAATCCTGAGAGGAAGCAGGCAAGTACAGGAGGCGAAGCTTTGACTTCCTTCCCAGAAAGCAAGGTTCACAGACAGCAGTCTGAGACACCTGGAACTGGTTCACATTTAGCACAGGCTTTTCATCAAAGGCTATTTACAGTGCATTATCTGCATGGAGATTCCCTCTGGAGTAACCTGGGATTAAATGTCTACTTAAAAGCGCAATGGGGTCACCCCTGCTAGGGACTGAACCTGCAGCTTTGGGTTACAAGTAGGAGTGTAACTATACACTCATATTATTATTCGGTTCGATACACATACTGATCTCATTCGATCCTGATCTCACAAAAGGGTTACTCTAATGATACTTTAAACAAAAAGCAAAAAAATTTTTTTGGGGGGGGTTTATTGCTATTATTACTGTTATTATTATTACTATAATTTCTAAGACATATGATAAAGTTTACAGAAAGTGCTGTTCATAAAAATGCTATGATAGAAAATAGAAAAATGCATGATTCTGCTTAGCTGAAAATTAGAGTTGCAAAGATGCAGAAAATTTCCGGTAAATTGCAGAAACTTTTGGAAATTTTTGGAAAGTTTCCAGACATTTACCGGAAATGTTCTGCCCCTTTGCAACCCTACTGAAAATACAAAATTATGTTAGACTAATTGATTAAATACATTTTAAAAAGTTGTTATATTCTTAAAATATAATTCTATTATTATAAGCTGCAATATTAAATATTATTTTCAAATCTTTTATTGTAATATACCGGCAAAATCAGACACTCTGCATTATCAGGATGAATTTTACATTTTGAACCACGATACATCATGGCATGATACTATCAGTACACCCCTAGTTACAAGCAAAATGTATTGCAATCAATTACTTCAATGTTTACATATAGTCAAAGATGTTTTAGGAAATTAACTTAATGTTCCAGCCAAAAAAATGAGAATTCTGTCATTATTTACTCATCCTAATGTCATTACAAACCTTTATGGCTTTCTTTCTTGTGTGGAAATTAAAAGATGACATTTTTCAGACTGCTGGTGGTAACCCAACCATTTTTGTTACGATTGACTTCCATTGAATGGACCAAAAATTGTGTTTTGCAGAAGAAAGAAATTCAGAAATTTCTGCATATTAAACAAACTATAATGTTAGAAAACCCCAATTCTTTTAGCACTGAATAAAAAACAGTCTGTGGAGTACATAAATATAATGATCCAGGTCAAAACCTGTCTACTTTATAGCACATAAATCACAAAACTAAGTAGAATATAGCATTTTCATGCCTTAAAGGTAATGTTTGTTGTATCCATAATTAAATAGCAGTTAATAGGTTATTAAGGCATACTGAGAAAGCCATCTTTGATCTGAAATGAAATTTTACTCATGTCTGAGAGCACCAGCATATTCGGGCACCCTGCATTTTCTTGCTTTCATCTTTTCTCTTTTTCATTTTTGAAAGCTGAAGTATAACTGGATCAGTCACCTCCAGCCCCATCTCAGAGTTGTGTCCAAACAAAAGACAGAGAAAGAGGAACAACGTGAGAATATTTCACACTGAACCAACAGTGCCCTCATCTGGAAAGAGGAAGTATGCAGGGGTGAATCAAAAGAATAGAAATCCTATTTAAGTCCAAAATGATGTCTGTCCCTACAAGCATAGCATGTCTCAGCAGCACAAAAACAGTAAGTTGTTAGATCACGATCATAATTTCCAGTTTCAAAGTCATGTTTTCAAAGGCAAAGTCATATGGCCGATATTTAAATGATGATTAAAACGGCCTCACATCGGCACCAAACCACTAGACAACAGAGCTGTAGTCAAGGCAAATTACCTCAATGATGCCATCTGTCCACAGACCAAACCCTCAAAGACCTAAATGCTTTAGATGAAGCTCAAATATACAAAAAGTGTAGTTTTAAAGGAACAGTTCACTCAAAAATGAAAGTTGTCATTACACATATTTAAAATAATGATTCTATCGGTGCTTATTCACCTTCATGTTGTTCCAAAACAGTCTGCTGACATTTTTTTTGTGGAACACCAGAAGATAATTTTTGAAGAATCATCCAGCTTTTATTCATACAACGACTGTCAAACTCCAACAAAAGTTATATGGCTTCTTAAGACTTTTTTTAAATAAACTACTAAACAAATGTTCAGGGTCGATAAGTTTTGCTATGCTCTCACCAAGATTGCAATTATATATATATATTAATCATTCAGCAAATTATTAATATTATAAACTAAAAAAAAATTACATTTTAAAATAACTTTTCTATTTTAATATATTTAAAAATGAAATGTATTTATTTGATGGCAAAGCTAAATTTTCTGTAGCTATTACAGTCTTCAGACTCACATGTGTCTTCAGAAATCTAGTATGCTGATTTACTGCTCAATAAATATTTCTTATTATTATCAATGTTGAAAACAGTTGTGCTACTTAATATGTTTGTGGAAACCTGATACTTTTTTCAGGAATCTTTGAGGAATAGAAAGTCAAAAAAAAACAGCATTTATTTGAAACAGCATTGTTTTGTTACCATGTAAATGTGTACTCTCACTTTTGATCACTTGCAAATACATTTAGCTGATTACTAATTTTTCAAATAAAAAGAAATCTTACTGATATTTAAATTTCAAACATTTTTAGAGCTTGGCCTTTGTATTAAAAAGAGCTGTGTGAACATACAAAAATCTTCAAATTGTGTTCCATGGAAAAACAGCATAGAGGTTTGAAACGAGCTAAATAAATGACAAAAAAATTTTTACAGAACTGCCATTACCATTTTTGGATGAACTATCCATTTAAATTGGTATAAACTCTGTTCCTGTAAAGGTGTAACTTTCAAAAATAAAATTAAAAAGAGCTTAAGACCCAAGGAAGATCTCTGGACAATGATAGGGTTTGTCTTAGGTCGACTCACCAACTGTCATGGATTCGGGAAGGCCAGGGGTCGGCAAAACACTGGTCACAGGCACAATCTGTGCTGGTAAGTCTGACTCCATGCTGAGACAGCAAAAGGTAATACAGACTATAAGTATCAGTCTTCAAAGTAGAAATTTTACTAACAGAAATCTTACAAAAATGTGTTCTTTTGTATCAGATACCTAAACTGGAGTTGGCTTTGTTTTTCACTGTCAGCTGGTGGGCTTGAGCGCTCCTTCTGTCCATGACATTCGACATTCTCAACTGAACTGCCAGCTGTAAGCACAAAAATAGCAAATTTCGCAATGCCAGGACCGTGGTTACACATAACACTCTCAATTACGTAGTGCTTTATTTTAAGTTCATTTTTACATTTGGAAAATCCAAAGACACATAAAAATGCCTGCCACATCGATGAGGACAAGATTGTGAAAACATAGCAAGATGTCCCTGAATGAGGACATTGTCTGACAGCCTGTGGGTCTGACCTTGTGTGTAGGGCTCACTGGGGGCCAGAGGTATGAGAATGTGCGAGTTGTCATTGTCAGTGATGATTTGCCTTGGACTCCATGTGGAAACACTGGATAAACTCCCCACAACCATCCTATGCAGAGCAGAATCTTATGGTCACACTTTATTTGAATGTGTCTTTATTACAATGTAATTCCACAAGTAGATTACAAGTAATATTAATTAACAACATGTATTTACTATAGGGTTTGGTTTATGTTTTTATAGTTACTACTATAGTAAATATGCTATCATTCAAAAGTTTGGGGTAGGTAAAAAAGAAGTCACATATGCTCACCAAGGCTGCATTTATTTGTTCAGAAATACAGTAAAACATTCATATTTTGAAATATTATTGTAATACAACAACTGTTTAAAATAACGATACTATTTTAATGCATCTTAAAATGTAACTTATTCCTGTGATGGCAAAGCTGAATTTCCAGCAGCCATTACTTCAGTCTTCAGTGTCACATGATCTTTCAGAAATCATTCTAATATTCTGATATGGTGAAAACAGTGGGGAACAGTTGTGCTACTTAATATTTTTTTGGAAAACGTGACACATTCTTATACAGGTTCCTCTGATGAATATAAAGTTTTTATTTTAAATACAATTTCTATGTATCTTTACAAATATATTTGCTGTCACTTTTGATCAATATTAACTTCTTTAATACATACAAAAACATACTGACCCCAAACGTTTGAACATTAGTGTGCATGTGACAAGTGTAACAAGAGCTATTATAAAGTTAATAGTTCATTAATATATCTATTTTCAATTGTCAATTTAAGTCCATTCAATTCAAGTCTCACTACATACTGGTTTTGATTAATGCAACAAATAAACCAAAACGTCAAGTAAACTCACTGCTCCCCATTCCCATGATCCTCTTCTGGGGGCTCTGACCTGCTCCTTCCATAAATATCGTCCTCTTCCTCCTCTTCATTGTCAATGCTCTTGGTATCAGGCAATACTCCGTTCTGCGGGGGTGTTTCAGCCCAGCTCACAATCCCAGGCTCAGTCAGGCCGTTGTGAACAGGAGAGGTGGAGTTCGGAGGGTCCAAAGCCTCCTCAGAACTCACATGACCCACCGTACTCTTCCTGAGACTCCTCACAACGACCTCACCAGCCTCGTCCTCATCTTCCGCACCCAAGTCATCATCAAAGGAGATGATGTTTGTGATCTTCTTTTTACGTCTGCGCTCTTTTCTTAAGCTGGAATCTAAAATGCAAGTAAAAAGAATAATATGAGGGTGACTAAATGATGCCTGAATCTCAATTATCAATAGCAATATAACACTACAACAACATTTATTAGTGGAAAAAAGAGAAGGAAAAAAAAACAGGAAAGAAACACATATTCAGAAAAAAATTAACAACCTGTAAGTGAGGCAATACTTTTAAAGGGACATCTTGGTACTGTAATTACCCTTAAAAGGTTCATAATCATACATCAAGGCCTTAATCGAAAAGCGAAATCGGAAAAAAAAACTGTTGTGGCATCATTTCAAATAAAAATCAGACAAAAACAAGTTCATTTGGAGATTGTTTTGGGAGTCCTAAACAGCTTGTTAAAAGCAAACTTTCCCGAAAAGTTTGCTCTGATTAGTAAACACCTTCGAACTACCATTTCTTCCTGAGGATTATGTTATAGGTAGGTGTGTTCTGGGGCTCCTCCTCCTTTGACGTAGAAATCTTCTCCGGTTCATTTCTTCTGCTCAGTCCATCGAGATCAGACGCGAGTAAAAACATGAATACACTGGAGAGCTGCTTCATAGTACATTTACATTTAGTCATTTAGCAGACGCTTTTATCCAAAGCGACTTACAAATGAGGACAATAAAAGCAGTCAAAACTAACAAAAGAGCAACAATATATAAGTGCAAATGGCAAGTCTCGGTTAGCCTAACGCAGTACACGTAGCAAGGTGTGTGTATATATATATATATATATATATATATATAGCCTCTTTGAGATGGCACAATAATACGCCTTTCACTTGCAGAACGCAAGCTTCTAGAGGGCACATAACTCTGAAGTAATGAATTAAGGTAAATGGGTGCAGAGCCAGTGGTGGTTTTTTAGGCAAACATTAATGCCTTGAATTTAATAATAGTAGAAACTGAAGCTTTAATTGTAATTGAATGCAACACTGACACTGTTTTTTTTCATGTTTAATACCGTAAAGTCGCTTGCTTTGAAGGAATCTATTGTATAAAGTGCTATATAAATAAAAATGACGATATAAATAAATAAAATGACTATATAAATAACATTTTAAATATAAATAAAATGACTATATAAATAAAAGTGCCAAATTGTAGAGCTTATGCAAACATATCCACTTCGCTATGATCAGATGCTTTCTTAACCGCTCTTTTCTAACTGCTGTCATTTGTGTTTATTTTGTTATTGAGAGGAAAGCGTGCAGCACATATTTACATATTTATCTATATTCAGTAACAGAATAGCGCTGCTCAGGTACTTCAGGTATAACTTATTTTTACCCCAAAGCAGAGAACGAAAAAGAATTTTGCTGCGAGTATATCAGAGCCTTAAGGGTACATATTACTACTCTACAATACAAATATGCACCTTTTAGGTGTAGATAAGGTACAAAGTTGTCCCTTCAGGGGTTGCTACCACAGTGACAAGTTGTACTCCTAAAAGTACAATGTTTGCACATATTTCTGACAGTTCATGTGGATTTCTGTTATGGTATGTGACAAGTACCTGCAGAAGTGCTGCGGGGCAGGATAGGCAGTGGGTCTGATGGAGTATCCGAGCGAGGGATGAAACCAGGAACCACCGCAGTGGCGGTACCGATTTCCCGCAGAAGAGTGCTGACACCTTGAGTAGACTCTTTCCATAAACTGCTCATGCCCTGTGTGGACTCCTTAAGCAAGTGGGACACCGACGACCCCCCGCGGTCCAGGCCATTTAGGTCCGTGTTGTCGATGTTGATGGCAAACAATATGGAATTGAGCCCTATTGACACATAAACTAAATTCAGACTTGCACAGGGAAGCTACACATTATAATACGACTACAAAACAGCAATTGGCAAATACCTCACTTAAATATTACCTGCAGCCATGGTGGGCAACATACTGGCTCTCTCCTCATCCAGGACAAAAGCCCAGTCTTCATAGAAGGCACTAAATATGGGGCAGAATAAAGAAATTACCAAAGAACCTTCAATAAGTTAGAGTCTTACTGATATGTACTTAATGAAAGACAACAGAAGACATCCACAACAGTGAATCATGGGTGTCTGTACCTAAGGCGGGCATGGTCTGCCAGAAGCATGAGAAGATAGCGCTCGAGTGAGTGTTCATTCAGGGCACAACGAAGCCATGCCCGGCCCCGGCCCTGCTCAGATGTGATATTCTGCAGAGAGTAGAAGCGCTGCAACTCATGACGGTTGAGGTGCTCCTTCACATAAAACCAGAACGTCAGCTCTGCAACACACAACAGACACCTGTATGAACCAGCATGTTAATGCTCTCAGTTCCTCATAACAGAAAATTCTGACAGATAGAAGTTGTATAAAAGGAGGTCATTTTGTCAACCAGAATTTAGGAAATAAAATCCCAACACAAAAGTTCTACGATTATTTGAAACATAAGTTTTTAGTTCTGTATTTACATCCCTCTGAAAATTTTTGATTTTTTTTTTTATTGGTTGCTGGATTAAAACAATGGTGCATTTTGCTTGGTCAGCTGTCTGTATGTAACACTTCTTCAAATGGGTCACATAGGGCCCAGGAAGTCATACTTTTCTGGGCTCTGTGACATTTAGGTATTGCAGGATACAGGTTGCTGCAGCCTTGTGGTTAAATATCTGGGCTGGTAACCAAAGGTTGTGGGTTCAGATGTGACCTTTTTCACAAAAATATTCTCTTATTTTCATCAAGGCATTTATTTGATCAAAAATACAGTCAAAACTGTAATCCGGTGAAATATTATTACATTTTTAAATAACTGTTTTCTATATTATTCACTCCTGTAATTGCAAAGCTGAATTTTAAGCAGCCATTACTCCAGTTACGTGATCCTTAAAGGGGTCATATGATGCTATTTTAAAGATCATTGTTTTGTGTATTTGGTGTAACAGAATATGTTGGCATGCTTTAATGTTCAAAAAACACATTATTTTTCAAATACTGTACATTATGACTTTTTACTTTTATAAAGAATATCTCTTTGGATTTGAGACTTTAGTCTTTGCAACTATACAGATCTTCTTTATGCATCAAGAGCTTGTAACACTCCAAAGAGAAAGGAAAACTTGAAATCGCATCATATGACCCCTTTCAGAAAGCTTTCCAATATGCAGATTTGGGGCCCAAGAAACATTGGTAACACTCCAATCTTTTTTACACCACGGACCGGTTACGTTTGGAAAATTCAGTGCGGACCGGCTGGACGGGGGGGGATATATATATATATAAGGTTATTATATAGTAGGCTATTATAATAGCATTATAAAAGTAGTTTTAATGCATCAATTATGCCTTGTAATAAATCTTATAATGCATAGTACATTGCCATGAATCATTTTTAACCACAGTTAATACATTATAATGCTTATCAATTCATTGTTACTCTTTGCATTTTAAATTCGGTTATAATTATTTACGACAAGATATAACTCATTACAATGCACATTATGAATAATTATAATGCATTATACCCTTTGATAACCCTTTATAATGACTTATACATAAAGGCTTTAAGTAAAGTGTTACTAAAACATTTTTTATTATTATCAGTGTTGAAAAAAGAAAATAAACAGCATTTATTTAAAACAGAAATCTTAAACATTACACATTTTCTGAAATATTAAACATTATAAATGGCTTTACTGTCACTTTTGATCAATTTTATGCATCCTTAATAAAAGTTTTTTTATTTTTTTTAAATCATATATAAACAGTCATTTTCAAGCGTCAGAACAATAAAAGTTTAATGGTTTTAAATGTTGTTCTTTTTTCCGTACATTACAATGTATCCTGTTTAATTAAATTTTTTCTGAGCAAAAAATAATGACTATCATATATTTTTACCATGATTTACAGAAGAAACCCACTAAAATGTAATTGAGTGCAACAATAGTTCAAATACTAAAAATTGTCAGGCATTTTTACAAGAATCATCATTAAAAGACTCATGCAGCCGCCAAAAACTAATTAATGGTAATTTTAAATATTTACCAATCAATGCCACTATCCTTCAAACCACTAGGTTTTACCTATGTGTCACCAAGATTTCAAGCATGTAAAATATAATAAAATTTAGTATCATCACTTTTTCTTTGATATATATTTTAAATATAGGTCACAATAAGTATGCCGTCAACATATCTGTTACGCTGAATGACGATGGAACTGACTTTTTATTTTCACAAAAGTTATTTAAAACATTAAAGACGACACTTTACTAACATTTAACATGCTTTCTATTTATATAAAAACACTTTTTTAAATTTAGTTTTATGCGGACACCTTGTGCAGAAGTTTCGTCTTTCACTCATATACACAAAAACATCTGCAAGATAAAACTTAGCACAACAGATACGCGTGTGAACTCATTCAGCTATGAATTTTATCATGTATGTTAAGAACTTTAGTTTCGAGCAGAGTTCATCAAGTACATTATTTACAATAGAAACTCAAGCTTAATGAACATCACTCAAAATCCCCACTACTTTCTGAGTGACAATCAACTTTCTCCTCTACAAAAGCTAAAAGTACTCAGCATTGATTCATAGTATCACTCTTAGTTCTGCTGTTAATTTTAAACAGCTCAAAACCACAGCAGGTGCAAAGACTAACCTCAGAAAAACCTTGTTTCTCTTTTTTGCCATTTTTATAAGGCTTGTTGCATAACCATCTGGTTTCATAAACAGTATCAGCACCTGGTTTTCCTGCGTGATCACTTATGAGCATCTGTTTCCTCTATGAACAACCCAAAACACCACGTGTGTTCTTTGTTACTAGGGAAATCTCTCTGGCAATGTCTCTCAAGAGCTCAGTGAGTAAAAGCTTGGAAAAACACTTCTTTTCAGCATGTTCTTTCTGAAGATCATACAACAATTAATATGGTTGGCAAAAGGTGAGTGACAGAAAGTAAGGTCTGGATGGCCATTATTTGATGGAATCAGATACAGTACCTGCTTCAGTTTTACTGCTAAATCCAGCAGCATGTTTAATGGCAGCTGCTGTGAGGGCTAAACCGCGGCTTATCCTCAAGCCATGTTGAAGTACCGCTTCAAACTGGGCACACAGGCATATGACTCTACAAAGACCAAAAGAGGGAAAAAATTATCATTTAATCAAAGCACATAATGTTGGCTTAATCGTATCAAACCATTTATTTTATTCAGATTTCTAAATAAATAGGTAATCTTTTTATGGCACCTGCTATCAGAATCCGAGGCAATCTCCTTCCTGCCACCAAAGCGAATTTGGCACTGAGGAGAAGATCATTTATTTTAAAAAATCATGTTCGGTCCTTAACTAACATTATTATATTTCAAAATACAAATTATTCAAACAGTTGAAAATGTCATTTTTATTATACATCTTCTTCACAGACCCCTGCAGTCGCTTAATGGGCACCTAGACAAATATTAATATTTAATAACCTGATTGACAATTGGTACTAAATTCACTTATTAAATACAACAGCTGGTAAGTGGGAGAAACAAAGTTTTCTGCACTCAAAATTAAATGGCATGGCTCAACAGGGCATTATGTAGCACTGGAGTGTTTGTTCATAAAAAGGCAAAGGCAAAATAGTCACAAACAAAAGGCAAAACAGTTGTTTATCATTAGGATTTATATATTTTTTCTAAGCCAAAACATCAGCTGATTAACAGCTATTTGTACATTTGGACAATAATAACACTAATAAGAGAAATTTATTTAATAATTGTAAAAATTTGTGTCATAAATCATGTGATATATATATATATATATATATATATATATATATATATATATATTAGTACTAATACACCAGTCATCCTGGTAGCTCTAGTGTTATAATTAGCTACTGAAAAGCATATAAACCACTTCTCTCCTCGTTCCAAGCCAGCATTGTCAAAGAGGAAATGTTTTGTGTTAACACTGGAAAAAAATTAATTATCATAGAGTCAATGAAACAACTCAATGTCACCGTACCTGTTTAACTGCATCAAGAAGTCTCTCTAACAGGTTTTGCCTTTTCAGGTCATTTTGCTGCACGCCTGTAAGGTACAGTGTCCTAAAATATTACTGGCTGAATTTACCAGCATAAAAACACTTAAAATAAACACATAAAGACCACAGAGCATGAAATGAACAACAATGATTAACAATATGGTAAACGATTTACTGCATAGAAAAACACAAGCTGTTTTTAATGGTGTAGGCACTGTCAGTTTGAATATACTGATCTATTTCTTCTTCATAGACCCACAATTATATATACATATACATATATATATATATATATGCAGTCAATCTTTTAGCATAATGTTATTCATACTGTAATTAGTTTCATGCACTTTGATTTTTGTCCTGAATGACGCCCAACATAGTAACACTTGACATGACCTGTCCAAACAACAGATCTGTTATTGTGTTATAAGCAGATCTTTATCTATAAAGAAATGAAGTTGTTGCTGCTACTGTAGATATAGAGATATGTAGACAGACCGATCAGATTTACACTTCGAAGTAATCCAAATTTAATTTCAAGTTTACTCTATTTTATTCCATTTTTAATGGTCTTGTCATTTAGCTCTTTACAGAAGCATGACATTTTAGGATCTGCATTCTCAAACTACCGTGACACAGACTGAATGTTCTGAAACCTCTGGCTGCCTCACAAACTATTTAGATAACAATAAATGTGCTGTATATACAAATAAACAAAGTAACAGCGTGAATCCATCACCTCATATTTACAACTCACCGTTCATTCTGAAATTCCAGATGAAACGGTTTAGCAAGCGACATGAATCCCGGTTGTGTAGGTCCCCTAAAGTATCAGATTAATGCCAAAAGATGTTTAACAACACTGTTTACATTTTGGGTCGTTCTCCATAGTTTCACTTGCAGAGCAGTTAACCGAGGCCTAGCTTAGACAACTCTAGCAGTTTTTTAAAGCCGTTTAATGCATCACAACCATGAATATTCTGTTTATGAAGTAACGTATCGTAAGGGTTTACTGTTTAGCATGAGTGAACTGTTTCTACCGAGTTAAACTGTATCGTTGTGCTAGCGAGAGCTCGCTAATGCCGCTGTACGGCGCTCGTGTCAGTCACATGACATTGCCCTGGTTTCACGTGACAGCAACATTGTCACGTGGGTCATACCTAAATAGACTAATAAATAATTCAAACAATTATAAAGAAAACTATTTTGAAGTCGACTATACGTCAGTGGATTCTGAAAGTCTGATTTAATGGGACAGGTCACACAAACATGCCAGCTCCGTCATCGTTTACTCACCCTCGTGTCGTTCCAAACCTGTATGACTTTATTTCTTATGAGAAACACAAAAGGAAATGTTTGGCAGAATGTCACCTTCACGTTCATTTTTTCGTACAGTGACAGTAAATGTTGACTGAGACTATCATTGTGCCTAACAGATCAATTTGGGGGGATAAAATGTCTTTTAAGAATGTATTACATAAATGTCATGCAAGTAGGCTATATTTACAAACTGTAAGACTTCATAATTGAAGTAACACATTTTAATTTAACAGAGATACAGCATAAATGTACTGGGTTTGCATTGTTAAAAAGATGTGTAAGAGTGACCTTTTGGACAAAGTATGGTGAAAATTGTTTTGAATATTTTATCAATACTATTATCGCAGATAATTCTTACATCTAAATAACATTGAGATGATCACTTCTGACAGTCAGATGCCATCCTGTGTCCATTATTAGTGCATCCAGCAGTCATGACAGTTTTATCCAGTCTGGACAGAGTAATGGTGAGACGATGCTCGCTATCATCCTTCACCAGATGATGTGCAGTGTCATGGAGGTTCCAGTGATCTCCTCTCTATATAACAGGTGTACAGTGGTAAGCTTGCACTGTCTTTGTGGTAACCAGCAATGTAGTGCCTTCCTCAGTGGAGGGAAGAGGCAGGTTGGAGTTGTAGTGATGCTGGTTCAATCCACCGGGCAAATCAGTTGTAGCTTCATCCGTATCTTCAGATTGCTCTGTGACATTCGAGCCTCTCTCACTCTCAGTCTTTTGTTCTTGACCTATCGCTGTGTGACATTTCATTGACTTTGTAAGAATTTGTTTCCCACACAATTAATGTCACTATAAAAACAATGACTGCTAGCTTAAGCATATTTAGACATACAAATCCTATTAAATGAAATAATATATTTGTTGTAATAATGCCATACACAACATCAAGTACAGTAAACTAAAAAGGTATGCCCTATGATTATGACACTTCTATTAAAGTGCTAACATTTGAAGCAATGTATTATAATTTGGACAAAACTGTCTACATTTTTCTATCAAAAGTCTTGCAGCGATATACCTTTGTTCATGATGGGCTTACAGGTTTTTCTGCGTATAACTCGCAGAATAATGGTCAGTGCTGTGAAAGCTCCCAGGAACACAAAAAACACGATCAAAATTAAACGGATATTTTGATTCTTTTCAACTTCATTTTCTGGGACTGAAAAGGACACAATGAGGCACTGAATAAGAGACTGAAATCATAAAACATTGTGGACTTCATCATACAGTTCTACTCATAAGTGGCCATTCCTTTTGCAGAAATAACAAGAGTTAAAATTATTTTATTTAAATAATAGCATTTAAGAATGCTATTCTTTAAAAAAAAGAATAATAAATAATAACAAATAATTGCATTTGGTATTTTTTGTTACACTGCCCTAATAAAGAAACTCATGTACAGCTATTTTTATGCATCTATATTGCCCATTTATTTCAGAAGAAAAATTAGTTTATATCTTCAAGTAATTGTCTTGTAACATATATATATATATATATGAATATATGAAGAGTTCAAATGCAAAAGCATCTAAGTGCTGTCTGATATTTTCTTCTAAAATTAGCATTTTTCTCAGGCTCCTATGTTTATGTTCAGTTATTTCACCACTTTAATGGCAATGAAAAGAACCTATTCATTGCCATCAAAGTGAAATTACTGAACCTACACATAGGAGTCTGATAAAAATGCTAATTTTAGAAGAACATTTCATCAAAATGAATATATATATACAAATATTCTATTATATATTGAATGTTTAATATTGTTATGTAGCTTCTTCAGGGCAGTAAAAAAAAAAAAAAAGTAAAACAATTCTAAACAACTTCTGCAAGGAGTATGTTGACTTACCGTAACTGTAACCTATACATTTATACATAAAATGAGTACATTCAATGTGCTTGTACAACTATCTTAGTTTTGAAAATAAAAATGAAATGAAAAAAGTTTTCAATCAGATATAAAAACGATACTTACTTGAGGTACAAAATGTTTTGCAAATAATTGGTGGGGAGTTGCATCTAATGGAGCAATGTTGACACTCCTCAAGAAGTCCATCGTAATAATAATTCTTTGCACATTTTCCCTCAGCATAAATAATAATGTAAAGCAGCAATATAAAGAGAAGCATCTTCCACCGAGGTGCTAGGAGTCACTGAACTTACACAGCAGCCAGCATTTTATTATGCCCCAGTATGTAAATATGTCTTAAGAAGGGGATGTCCCTGAGCCATCAACACTTTTGTCTTTCACATTGGCATCAGTTTAAATTTTAGTCACATTTTCTCATGACAAAAAAAATGTTTTTTGTTTATCTATTTATGTAACTACATTGTAAAAAAAATAATATTTTGTTTTACAGACAAAAATAGCCGCTTCCAGAATAATTCTGTCCATATTTACAAAACAACCCATACATTTTACAGTTTTTTAAATTACAATTTAAGCCTGTAAAGTCAATGTGCTACTAAAATCTGTTTTGTACCTTTAACATATACTGACAACCACCATAATAACACAGGTAGTAAAGAGAAAGCCACATGAAGAATCAAAGTTCATCACAAGCAGCCTTTCCACAAGCTGAGGTAAATAAATATTCATATGTAGAAGGTGTATAAATACAAAACACCATATATCACACACTGACACTAAAATAATGCAATAAACATTAATTAAATAACATTAATTGTAACATAAAACCCTAATATACATGAATGATAACAAAAACCTAAACGAAATACCATCAAATGTGAAGTGTCACCATGGGGAAAACATGAAATATCACTGTTTTTCACTGTAAATTATAAGATGACTTGTTCTTTTCTTACTTCTGAAAATGTTACATTTAACAGTTTTACTGTAAACTAACATTATATTATAATTTGTAGATCTACTCATATGTAGGTATCTTCCTGTTAACCAAAGTCTTTTACAGTTAATTTTATCATCATTTTTTACAGTGTCAATAGTTTCAACTTTCAATAGTGACCTTTCAAATACAATAAAAACGGACTAATAAATATGTTCTTAAATTATTTTAATTGCAAAAGTCGGTATACATAACACAAATAATATATTCCTGATGCTGCTATATAAACATATAAAAGCAAGCACTGCTTATTAGATATAGTGGGACAACATAGTAAAAATAGCACAAAAACACAACATGAAAATAATAAAAATCAAGTATATTTGACTAGCATATTATATTAAATAACACAAACATATTTTAGTTTAATTGGATTAAACAATATATTTTTTTAAAAAGTATATATGAACAATTATATATAAATGTAGCCGAAAACAATCCAAAAATGATCCTAAAGATCTCTAAAGCACTTCTAAAGGCAAGTCATTTCTAGGCAGCATCGATGCAGATATGAAGAGGAGGGTCTCCCCGCAGAGCACTATGGGAATAGAGATGCAAATCAGAGCCTGACATTGAATGTCGAACAAAGTTTGCGGTGTGTGGTACAAAAGATAAGTCTTATTTGATTCTCTCTCCTGGCCAATAGGGGCCCACCTAAAGACCAGAATGCTATAAATGATTAACAAGCCCACACCTTGCATGATCATTAAAATAAAAAGATCATGCTTATAGATAATGACATGGAAGATGACTGGTTTCAATGCATTATCGAACTATGTATTCATTTAAGACAGTTTTACCTGTATGTTATATCACTAAAGGATCTCGGTTCAGATGGTTGGTCGTCCCAGGTGGTTGTGTATTCAGATAGGAGCTCATGGCAATAGTAACAGGTTGATCTGCTCTGGCAGTGCGGTTTGCCTGAGAGCCTTCAGCCTGACTGTTGATTCTTCCACTTCTCCTGAAGGAATTCCTCAGTCCGTTGGAGAGACTGCTGGAGACTTTACGCATAACGCCTGAAATTCCTTTAGTGCGTTTGTATTGAGCAATGTCGTCCTCCAGCTCTTCAGGAGGCACTTCAATATTACCAGTGTACCAAAACACCCACCAGATGAGACTCAGGAAAATAATCACAGCTCCAGCGAAGATTAAAAAGTCATGGAAAAAGATGTCCCAAAACACACCAACCAGGAGGACAAAAAGTCCAAAAATGTCGTGAAAAACAGCAAACCAAAATGCACATTTACAACGACCAACTCCTGGATGCTTTTTCTCCATATCCAATTTTTTATCGAATTGTATCACTAGACTGCAGCTTTGTCCACCCAGAAGGCTACAGTGCTAAAAGTACACATTGCGAGAAACATGACGTACACCTGTACAGATGATGTTCAAAGTACACTGAAGTGAATAAACCTTGATGTTGAGCAGTAAAGTAATGCTTTTATCAGAAAACTTTATCAGGATCCCAATCCTGAAGATAAATGACTATCAAAACACACTACACAGGAGTCAAAATGACAACAATCATACATCAACAAATAAAAATAAAAATGTTAACACTAGTAATATTTACATAAAGGTATCCCATGTGACATTGTTGGCTACTGTTTTATCTAATTCTAGATCATCCGCCTTTTGTGTTTTACTTTTTCTTTTATGATCAATGTCCAGACCACGCCGAACACAGCAAACATCAGCCCAAATGAAAGACACAAAGGGCCCATTTCATCATCCACAGCCATTGTGTCTGTAGAATTACTAGTAAATAATCCACTAGAATTGAGGATTATCACAAAACCAGCAGCTAATGCTAGCCCACCAGCGATCAAGATGAAGATGGGTTTGTGGTAGTAAGTCCAACAACTAGGGTCTCTAGGTACGGGGTCCCGAACTGGA